GTGGCCGTGCTGCAAGACATGGACTGGCAGAATCGTTGGTATGTGTGGACTGTTTTGCGTCAGTCGATTTGTTGCATCGGATGTCGGACGTATCCTCAATCGGTCATTGGATGATTCACACCATCCGAATCGTTAGTTGCATCATGGTATCAGGTGGCTATCGTCGTTTCCAGCGTCCGTGATCGTTGGCGTGCCAGAATGAAAGAAGAAGACCACTGGCTGTTCATGTATGCAACCGTAGAAACTTAAGTCGTCTTCAACAAACTCTTGAGATCCAAAGGGGCCNAGGGGCCACGATCGTACGAGAGGGTGCCAAAATTATCGTTCAACCTCGAAGCAACCAATGTGCCTTTCATATGACCTAATCTCTGGAAGTGAAAGATTGTCGGAGAAAAGCGGTGTATCATCCGAACGTTCAAAATTGCTGCATCAATCATAAACAATCATTGAGCATACAAAACAAATATCAAGATAAGGCGTCTCGTGATATAAGTCGTAATAGGTATTGATCACTTTATACGCTTGTGTGGATCGTGTTTTGCTCAATCCCTCAGACGGGCAAGCAAAACAATCCTTCGACCTGAACGTGAGTTCCACCAAATTCAAGGGAAGGCGTGTGTTAAGTGTATGCAGGACCGCCATTTACTGCTTAGAACACGTATCTGTGCTTGCGGTTATACAATGAACATGTAGAAGTTCTCATGGAGCCAGGATGGATTTGTTTTTCGCTGCACCAATTGTAAGAAAAGAATTTCCATTCGTATTGGAACACACTTTGAGAAATGCAGGCTGCCATTACCGACTTTGATGGAGTTACTTTTCTATTTCGTGATGGAGGAGCCCGTAACACGCGCCGATGCTATGTTTTTAATTTTTTTACGCAAAAGTGCCATTCAGTGGAACACATACTGCAGAGATGTGTGCTCCTCTGTGATATGCTGGTTGTCTACGCAACTGGGCGCTGTTGGTGCCGTTGTCGAATTGGATGAAAGTGTTGCTGGTATAGTGACATTATTTTCTCTCAGTGTCCTGCAGCATTCCTTGGTATCTGCTCTTCAGCGCACGTACAACAACTTTGACAACTCTCCCTCCGTCAAAGACGGCACTACATTGTCAGCTGCCGAAGTCTCACCCGCACTGGAATGTTATCCAAGTTGGCACCGACTGG